TACAGACAATTTACAATCACCAATTAACCTCAGCATGCTTTTGGAAGCTGGAGAACCTGGAGAGAACATGCAAACTCCACACAGAAAGATCCCGGTGCCCCCAACGGGACACGAACTGGCGACCTTCTTGCTGCGAGGCAACAGTGCTACCAACTGCGCCACCTTGCAGCCCTATAATGACTACAGTATATGCAAATTCAATAAAATGTCTAATTATTTCACCTCTCAATCACTGTATTGTTTCTAAGTACAGCATTCCCTCTCATCAAAAACAAATACTTTAGAAAAGCTACATTAAAAATACAAGCCCAAAAGTAGAAACTCATGATCAGGTCACCATGAACGCCTGAGGATTAAACCAAAATACCAGATGACCAGATGACTCCCAGTCTGCAGAAGCTTGGTGGAAGAGGACTTTTCCAGCATGATAACCATCCAAAGTACAAGAGTGGAAACTATAATCTGAACAAGTGTGTCGTCTGACTTGAATCCAATTTTTAACAATTTCCCTGAGGTTTCCACCAAAGGGATCAATAAAGTTCTATTCTATTCTAGTTGTATTCTATACAACAATGTTGGGTATTTTATGAAAGAACACAACTCCTGTGAACTCAACAAACTGTCTGTAAAGAATGGCAGAACATCTACTGGTATCCTGTATCTGTCTGCACAGCACCGATCTACTATCAGGCCTGTATTTTGAATTTAGGAAATCTAAATTGTTAGTTCATAAATTGCAGATATCCTGTTGTTCATCTTAGAAATAGCGTAATTTCTTTCAGGTGATGCAATTTAGAATTATTTGACATTTAAATGGTATCGCTGACACACTGTTGAGTACTGTACAAACTGCAAAAACGTGACTTCTCTGTAGACTTTAGGCAAACCAGTGGCTGAGATTTCACTGTTGTTTGATGGGATCGTTCTGCATCCTACAGGGTTGCTCACTTCCAGTCAACTTCCTCATTTCCAAAAACTCCTTCAAGTGACACGAATGAAGCTGTCAGTTCAGAGGGATAATACGTCTTTATTTTGGGGTAATGCATTCAAGCAAGTCACACAATATTCACGTTAGAAGTAAATGACTGAACGATCAGTTTTAATCTGATACTAACAGACTGACCACGGACAACCAGCTGCGTCTGTGAGAAACTGTAATATTTCGCAATGGAAGAAATTTGCGGCCTGTTAATAAAAGTCCTCTTTTAAACGTACCGTTGCGCTTGTATTGCTTTTAAACGGACTTTACAGTGAAACTTACCGACGACTGATAGCACTAATTTAGCTACTAAATCGTTCAATAAAAAGTCTCGGCTGAAAACTGAATAAAAAGCTACTATTTGGTCGACGGTGGCTAGTTTCCCATTTTGGTTGTTATTTGGGTAGAAAGACGTTATTCCGGTTTTACGACAGAACCTCATGTGACATAATTACGGCATTTAGGCCACGTTCAAAGCTCATCTGCCGAAATAAAACTAAGCTTTAACCCAGTCAGTCTACAGTTCAGTCCGGCTCATTAGCCTAGCTTAACTTAGCTTAGCTTAGTTTAGCTTAGCAGACAAGACAGCAATGAAGAGCAGTTTCCTCTGGCCGCTGCTGTGAGCGACGGCAACGGACACACGCACACAGACACGAGCACAGAGCTAGCAGCTAGCGAGCAGCGAACCGAAGCGGTGGTCACTTTACCCTGGACGACGGTTTGCAAGCACATCAGCACGAAGAGCATCGTGACGGCGTCATTTCTCAAAGAGACGAGTTCCCGAATGCGTCGCCATTATTTGTTGGAATAGAACCACGTATGACACTTCCTCAAATCTGGCTGGACTCTGGGAAGTTGCGTTGACAAGTTGCTCTCGTTTTTTGGCAGCAGGCGTCCTCTAAACGCCCCTTAAAGGTACATCGGGAATATAATTCTCATCATCATCCTTCTCTGCATGGAGGATACCAGCAGTGCACATATTTCTGGAGAGAACTTTGACCATTCCTTAGCTTTTTGCTAGAGGGGTTGTGTTGCTCTATTTTCCCCTTGAATAAACCCTAAACCCTAAACACGTTCTGTTGGACCAGGTGACACATTTTGTCTTAAATTAGACACTAGGAGGGACCAGATGTATCATCCATCCATTATCTATACACCGCTTAATCCTCATTAGGGTCGCGGGGGGCTGGAGTCTATCCCAGCTGACTTAGGGCGAAGGCAGGGGACACCCTGGACAGGTCGTCAGTCTGTCTGCACTTAGAGACAGACAACCAAGCACACTCACACCTATGGACAATTTAGATTAACACCTCAACATGTAACACCTCAACATGTTTTTGGACTGTGCGGGAGGAAGCCGGAGAACACGGAGAGAACTCCACGCAGAAAGATCCCGGTGCACCCACCAGGACGCGAACCGGCAACCTTCTTGCTGCGAGGCAACAGTGCTATCAACTGCACTACCTCGTGGCCCCTGCTGAAACATAACCTCAGTAACTCAAATCAAAGCACGAGAGTTTTTGTGTAGTGATAGACCTGTCTGAATGAAAATGTCCTGACAGCTCTACTGGAGCACAGGTTTCATCCAGAGAAGCTTTAATAAAAAATAATTCCACTTTGTAGGCCTTCAACTTGTAATTAATTTGTGTGGAGTCGAGTGGTTCACCTGTTGGTTGTGTAGAGGAACATAGAACATAATTCACCTTCAGATCTGGTTTCCAGGACGTTTGTGCTGCTCTGCCAGATGTGTAAATGTGCACATCACTCTCAGGTAAAGAAACACTTACAAATACTATTGTAAGATCCAGACAGTGATCTAGCATGTTTCAGATGTGCTTGGGTCACATTACAGCTGTATTTCTACTTGGACACATGCTGCAGCTTCATTTCAAGTCAGCTGGTCACCTAGGTGATGTATGATGCAGCTTATGGGTGAGGGAAAAGTAAACGACACAAAA